TAGCTCTGACATGATTATCTTCTGATGGACACCTCGTTGATGTCTCAACATTAGCTCATCACTTCAAATTGGTTTGGAATTTATGCACAACCAAGATCTGTCTATTCTGCTTTGGTCTTTTAAAATATTCAATATTAACAAAACAACTTATTGGGCTGCCTTATGTGAGGAATACAAGACTATAAGTTCCATTTAGTTTCATCTGACGAAAAATTATTATAAGGCTTGATACATGCGGCTCATATCTGTAGGTCTAATTTATTTACCCCACCCATTGAATGCATTAGATCGGAGTAGTAGTATTTTAAGGTCCTGCAGGTCCTGCAATTAAGGCTTGTGACATTCAACTTCAGGACTCCTACTCACTTCTTTTGTGATTTTAAATGGAAATTAAGACAGACCTTTACAATCGTATCACATAAGATGTTTTTTTTTTTTTTTTTTTTTTTTTTTTTTTTTTTTTTTTTTTTTTTTTTTTTTTTGTCTAACTATNATCCATATTATATATATTAATATTTTCTTCTTGCTTCATGGCAGTCACGTTCGATTCGTGATTTTGACAACTATGCCACACGCATCCTTGGAAATTTTGAGGTAAAACACACTCTGAATACTTATTTTGATTGGATAATTTGAGCATAGTTCAACAGATTTATGCATACTCTCTTGACCAAGTGATGTTGAACTCGAAAAAATCAATTTGTACTATTTTATAACTAAATCAATTTAGACGATTGTTTAAGATTTCATTTTAAAATTGTTGATCCATAATTTTCATAGGTACATAAGACTCTTCTAAATGCATAGTTTAAGGTAATATCATAGAAGAATATTGGATTCAAATGGATAGTAGATTTTATTAATATGAGTGGTTTTTCATCTATTTTTCTTCACTTATCTAGGAAGAATTACGAGATTTTGGGTGCAATAATTTTATTTAAGTAATTTTGAATTGATTTTAAATAGAATCAAGTGAAAATAATTATAAATCACTAATAGAAGATTTTCTTAAATTGATACCATTATTAATTTGGGACTTTAATTGATACAACCTCAAAGTTTGGAATATAAATGGATTTTTTCCTAATTTCAAATAACAATTCATGTAAGAAAAAGGAAAAGTGCATAGATTTACGGATAATTTTTTAAAAACAGCTTTCAAGCCATAAAAAACAGGAAGTAGTAAATTAGATTCAGTGTGCTTTTCATATTAACGATTCATTATAATCATCGCTTAGGTTTAATTTGATTCATGCGTGTTATAATTTGAAATTAATATATGGAAGAATAAATGAAAATCTATGAACGGAAGTATCTTTCCATACAGTTCTTTTCTCTCTTTTTTTAATGTAAACCCAAAAGGCCCTTATGTTTTCATACGTCGTAAATGCTAAAACATGTTTCTGTTCTTTCCCAGACCGTGGATGAATTTTACAGGCACGCCACTAGTGCTACCCATGTGGGAAATGTAGCAGTGCCACTTCTATGCATTAGTGCTTTGGATGATCCGGTTTGCACAAAAGAAGCCATTCCATGGGACGAGTGTAGGTAGGACTTATTTCATGCTTGTAAGCACTTCCTTTTTTTTTTTTTTTTTTTTTTTTTTTTTTTTTTTTTTTTTTTTTTTTTGTTGCAGAACTTTTTTTAAAAATTGTGCTCAATAGTTATAAGCTGTTCTACTATAGTTATCAGAACTTTTGAAAACAGTTTCCTATTTTTGTTTTCAGAACTGTTTTTAAAAAATTGTGATTTATTTTATTAGTCATTCACAAAAGAAAATATTTGGAATTACTAATTACAAATCCGTGATTTTGAAAGGAATAACATTTTCATTTTCTTCTGAAATAAATCATTTGTGAGAATGCACCATAATATTTTTTAATGTATAATTATTCCACTTGCCTAATCCTATCTTTTTTGGAATTTGGATAACCCTGGTTGATTAACTATTTACAGGGCAAATAGGAATGTCGTTCTAGCAACGACACCGCATGGAGGACATCTAGGTTTCTATGAAGGGATAACTGCCAACAGCCTGTGGTAATATACATGTCCTCCCATTTGTAAATTGTACTGAGAAAAAGGAATTTTTGGGTTTTGAAGTCTTGATCTACCGTATGCTTTCATTGTGGGTCATTATGCATAAAATGTAAATAAAATAAAATATAAAATGATTGGCTGATTACTTAGAAGTCTCATTAGATCTTATCTTGCAGCTTAACATTCATTAGCAATCTTGGAATTAAGGTCATCTAATTGTGATACGTCGTGTAAAATCATGTCCTGTAGGTGGGCAAGGGCTGTCGATGAATTCCTCGGCGTCCTACATTCCAGCTCGTACATTGATGTAATAAAGCAGGTGCAGTAACATGACCATAATTATATTTATAGCATTTAGTGCCAGGTACATTGAAAGAGAATTCATGAATCATGAATGAAAGGATTATCTAATCTAATAACTCATAACCAGTATTCTATTACAAGTAAGATCTCACATCAGTGGGAGAGGAGAACGAAACATTTCTTATAAGAATGTGGAAACTTGTTCCTAACATATGTGTTATAAAAACCCTGAGGCTGACGGTGATACGTAACGGGCCAGAGCGGACAATATTTGCTAGCAGTGGGCTTGGACCGTTACAATGGTATTAGAGTCAGACACTGAGAGGTGTGCCAGTGAGGATGCTAAGCCTCCAAGGGGGGATTATGAGATCCTACATCGGTTGGAGAAAAAAACGAAACATTCTTTATAAAAGTGTGAAAACCTCTTCCTAACAGACGCATTTAAAAATCGTGAGGTTGACGGCGATACGTAACGCATCAAAGCAGACAATATCTACTAGCGGCGGGCTTGGGATATTAGAGTATTGCTATAGATTCCCAAACTTGTGAGAAGTTTAGAACCCTCCCACTTCCCCTAGCCTTCACTTGTCATTGACAACTTACCTCATTCTGCCTATATATCTCTACTAATATGATCCACACTGCTAAGCCTGGTTCCTAACATAAGTGAAATGTATTGGCGGCTTGGCATTCATTTCAAAAAACTTGGCTTATGTATAATGCCAATTACCAAATGAAAGCTGACCAAGAAAAGCACCAAAAAGCATGTTGGCTGGACAAACAGAGAGTTTGAAAACCTTATTTCATCAATATGACAACCTTCCAGTTGTCCATGAAGCTTCTAAGTTGGAGCATTTGCAGCTCTGGTGCAGAGCAGAAGATTAAAAATTCTTTACTTGATACCAGATTTGGTATTGTTTTCCTCCAAGAATCGGAGTTCTTCTATTGATCGTTCCACCATCAGGTTTGTTTGGCTACACTCGATAATCGGTCTTTTTAGCAAGGTCATCCGAGATCTCTCTCGTGATGATATTCCTGTTTAAAATGGATGTTATATTTGGTCAAACATATCAGAATCTCCCGTTTTTTATCCTGTTGAGGTATTTTTCACCTCAAACAAGTGGAATTCTAGATTCATCCACTTTTGTTACTCTCCAGAAGAAAGGATCATCTTTGGACATTTTCCTGTTGTCTTAGAAGTAGGAGCTCTCTCTTGGTTGCAATCCCTTTCATATTTGAAATTTTTTGGCTCTCCCATCCCTCCGTCAACAAGCCATTGGATTTTTTTACCCATTAATGTGTGAGAAGGCTTCTATTTCTATGTAATCTAGCCTCATACAACTTATACTTTCTTGCAGATGCGAAAGACAAGAACTCCTACTCCGAGCTTTTCCATCGATCAAGGTCCTTACGTGAGCGTTTTGGAAGATGGAATGGTGACTGCTGTAGGTGATGAGCAAACAGATGATACTATGCAAGACTTATCGAACCAGGAAATGGCCAACGTTAGTACGAGCGCCGAAGTCATTTTGGACAAAGAAGAGGCTGACCATGTTGGGAAGAAGAATGACCAACCAGAGCGCTATGAAGAAAAGGATCCAAATCCAACACAGGCCACAACTCCTGCAAGGAAATGCACAGATTGTCTTACACGCCGGAGTGGGAGATCATTCTGGCTGCTCGCTTACATTGCCATTATCACATCATGGCCAATGGTGCGCCCAGCTCTCTCCTTACTCTTTAAGAAATATAAAAATCTCATGCCTGGAGGTTCACGTAAAAGATAGAATTTGCTGTTGTCAGCAAGTATTCTTAATATTAAGTTGCCATTCAATTGAAAATAAAATGGGTAAAAGGGTAGAATTACATTTACCGTTGTTTATTCGGAAATATTTGAAACTAGTAATGTAACTTATTGTTTGTCCTACTTTTCATGTACTGTACTGTTATTAAAGAAATAAAATTGATCTCTGGCTACTCCTTTATTTGTTGTTCCTGCCATTTTCTTTTCACAAAAGCTCTGCATTGTAGTTTCGCGGCAAGCTTTGATGTCATACAAAGAGAAGTTCTGCCACGGCTCAAGCCCACCGCTAGCAAATATTGTCCTCTTTGGAGCCAGCGTCTGCTAGGAAGAGGTTTCCACAATCCACCCATTTGGGGCCAAGAGGTTTCCACAATCCACCCATTTGGAGCCCAGTGTCTTCACTGGCACTCATTTCCTTCTCCAATCAATATGAGACTCCCCCCTCCCCCAATCTACCTTCTTTTGGGGCCTAGCATCCTTGCTAACACAACGTCTCATGTCCACCCCCTTCGAGGTTTCAGCCTTCTTGCTGGCACATCGTCCAATGTTTGGCTCTGATAGCATTTGTAACAGTCTAAACCCATTATTGTTGATATTGTCCTCTTTAAGTGTAACCGCCCTTGTCCTCTTTAAGTGTAACAGCCCAAATGGTGGTAAAGGTTTCCACACCCTTATAAATGGTGTTTCATTCTCCTCCCCTAAACGATGTGGGATCTCACACTAAGCTCCCCTTTTCGGGCCTCCCTTCAAAGTTTTTAAAACGAAGAAGATGTTTCCAAACTCTTATAAAGAATGTTTCATTCTCCTCAACCAATCTGGGATCTCACAAACTCTCTCTGAGATTGCCTTAATTTCACTCGAAATTTGTAGTTGAAGTTTCCATATAAAGATGGAGCCATTACTTGATATAGAAGGCAAGAAAGAGTATGCATTTAAGCTACAGTGGACATTGGACCTGCTGTACCAGAAAATCAAATATTTGAAGATTCAACTACAACCAAAAGCAGCCGCTTAATGAACTGCTAAATCCGTTGCAGCCAAGGAGAGAGGTATGTCACTGACCCATGTTTGATTATGTGCTGAGAATAATGCATGTTTAGCTTCATTACTTTTCTTACTTTCATAGCTTTATATTATGTTATAACCTCCACCTCTCTCTCTGTTGGCTGGTCATTTTCGACCACCATCTTCCCCACACAACATGATGGTGATGTTTTTTTTTTTTTTTGTCTTAACCTTGAAACAACAGTCATCCCCCCCTCTCTCTCTTTACTTTTAAAGCTAAAGCAAAGAGCTCAATTCTCCGACCTAACCAATCATCAAATACACCATATCCTCCCACACCCTCTCCCCACACGTCCCATGGAAGACCCTGAAATGCCTAATCAAAGCTCTGCCTCCATTGTTGACACCTCCCGCCCCTTCCGCTCCGTCAAAGAAGCCGTTGCCGTGTTCGGCGAACGTCTTCTAGTCGGAGAAGCTTACTCGTCGTCGCCAAAGCCATGTGCCAATGCCCCATTGTCTGAAACAGGCACATGGGATTCTTTGTTAAGCTCCACAACAACTGTAAAGGAAGAGAAAGAACATGAAGTGTTGGATACACTGAAGAAACTTGAGGCAGAGCTGGAGGAGACTAAGGAAGAGTTGAGGTTGCTGAAGGAAAGGGAAGAAGATACAGAAGTGGCATTGGCTTCACTGAATGCAGAGCTGCATAAGAACATGTCAAAGTTGGCTGAGGCGGAAGCGGAGGCGGCTGCGGCGGCGAAAGCTGTGGCGACGAGAAGAATCACAATGGGATGTGAGAATGGAAGGATAGAAGAAGAAATGAAGAGAACAGAGGCATTGGCTCAGATATTGAGATTTGGAGGGAAAAAGGAGAAGAAAAAGGTAAAGAAAAAGCCAATAATTCCACTGGTTGGAGATTTGTTGATGAGATTAAGGAGAAAAGGGAGTCTCAGTTCTTCATTCAAATCCTTCGATTAAAGAACCCTTTGATTTGCGTTCTTCCTTCCCGCTTGCTTGGGAATTGTTTGATCGTCTTTCACAATGTAATTTCACTTCTTTTTTGTCGTATGAAATGTTTTTTTTTTTTTAATTTTAATGAAAGATCGAATGAAATTAGATTTTAAAATTTGAAGGAAAAAAATATATATACAAGGAGAAAGCTGTTTATAATATAAAAGTATAAATTATTTGTATTATAAAGCCAAACAAACGAATTATTAACCCTCAGAAAAATAAAAAGAAAAAAAAATTGACCGTTGGGATATTTATTAAAAATCAAGCATAATAATAATAAAAAAAGACTAAATTAATTAATGTTTCAAAAAAAAAAAAACCTTAAATCTTCCAAAAAAAAATTGAAAATATACTCCAAAAATATTTTGTTCGAGCTTTCAAAATGTTCATTAATATATTTAAAGTTTTTTAAAATTTTTAAAAATATATTTAAATTTATTTTAAAAAAATTTAAATACGTTTTATCAAATTGTTAAAGTATACAATTTTTGTTTGTATATTGAACTATAATAAGTTTTTAAAATTTTTTATAAAAAATTTGGAGGGGTTAATGCTAATATTTTATAGGTATTTTTTAAATGTGATATTTTTTAACTTTTTTAAAAAAATTAAAGGATATTAATAAAATTTTAAAGTTTAAATATATTTTTTTAAAAAAAGCTATTAAAAGTTGAATATTTTGTTAAAAATTTTGAAAATTTGAAAAATACTTTTTTTAATAGTGAAATATAAAATTTACAGGTTTTTATTTATTTATTATTATTAATTTAATTTAATAATAATTAAAGAAGTTTTAGTGGTGAAGGAGGCAGCTGGGGCTTCTAAGTTTCTGAATCGCTCCATCGAATCTCATATCCTTTGTCGGACGAAGACGAAGGAACAGCGATTGAATTGAATATGCATCCCATGGTGTTGAATTCCTCCCCTTACCACAGAGCCCCGCAAACCCTTCAATCTCCTTCTTCCTCTTCTTCTTCTTTTTCTTCTCGCGCCTTCAAGGTCCCTTTCCTTTCCCTCTTTTACTCCTCCGTTTTCTGTTCCTCCTAACCAAATTGACAAGTTCAGATCTGGAATATCTTGTAGATCTCCTCCTTCTTCGTCCGCCATGTTTCGCCTTCAAGACAGCGCAGTCTTCTTTGCCGGAGATCATGTCGTTCCCTTCGAATTAACTCACGCACGCCAGGTACTATTTCTGCGTTCCTTCTATTGAATTTGTGTTGGATTCGTATTAAGTTCTGGTTGTTGAATCTATCCGATGTTTTTGTTTTGTAAATTGCTCGCTCTTAGGGTAGATATGCGATTGGTTATCGTAGATGTTAGAACGAAGCTCCTGCCCAATCCTCTTTCTTCTGAGATTGACAATCTTTGTCGTATGATTCAAAATTTTCTGTTTTCAGTTATTAGAGCCGTCGCAACTTCCAATTCGGCACTGGAATTGCCGCTGACTGCAGAAAATGTTGAAAGTGTTCTGGACGAGGTTCGACCATATCTTATTGCGGATGGTGGTAATGTAGCATTACATGAAATAGACGGAAATGTTGTACGGTTGAAGCTACAAGGAGCATGCGGCTCATGTCCGAGTTCTGTTACGACTATGAAGATGGGAATTGAACGGCGTTTGATGGAGAAGATCCCTGAAATAGTTGCTGTGGAACCAATAGCAGATGAGGAAACTGGATTGGAGCTCAACGAGGACAATATAGAGAAGGTAAATCACTGTTCACTCTCTATCACGCGTATTCATTCTATGATTTGGATGCAACTTAAAATTCGTTTCTGAATCGTATATTTGCCTTACACCAACCCACTTGTAATCTCTAACCTATAGACGACTTATAATGGACCTTTCAAGGTATTTGAACATTTTTTGGGAGGAAGAAGCACAATGGTATGTATAGCTCACACAGGTTCTTTGATATATTTGATTATTGAGAAATTAAGGGTAGGATTAAGCTAGCATTCTTTGATGTATGTGATTATTGAGAAATTATGGGTAGGATTAAGCTAGCATTCTTTGATATATGTGATTATTTTGAAATTAAGGGTAGGATTAAGCTAGCATTCTTTTTATTCAACTTCAACAATTCTTCAGATTGGCTTCGTTTTTTGATAAGATATTACCCATTTAGTAGGTCAAGCCTCTGTCTCCGTAGTTTTTTTGGTACTTCAGCCTTCCATTTCTCATTTCTCTGTGACCGAAGGAACGAATGGGTTTCTGAAATCATCCTTATTCGGATAAGGACTGCCAAGAAAGCATATGGCATGATTACATCTTCATTTCGTTCTTCATAGAAATATCAATTAAGTGCATCCAAGGCCCGTGTGTCCGATTTTTTAATCCGGGTGCTACTCTACTTGGTATTGGTCCAAAACTGCGACCAGCTTGATTAAGCTTGCAGCATTTGTAGACAATGAACCTGATAGTAATGCAACACAACGCTTGAATTTGCCTGTCATCATATGAAACCCAAGGGGCTGTATATCGAATCGTACTGGTAGGTTATCTTTGAAATACTTATTACTCCCCATATAAGAAATGCTCTATTCTTTTTTTTTTTTTTTTTCATACTGACTTGTCATGTGATAGATTTCCTAGCCTGTCTCATCCTTGCCTCCAAGTTGGTTGGTTATTCGTTGTCACCTGGATGGGTTGTAGTTCCATCGTTATTATTATCTATTCAATCTTGATGGAGATTCCAATGCCTCTTTCAACCTTATGAAAAATTGGAAACAGAAACTCACTCTTGTTTGTACAATTATGATTGAATGTTATTATTGCTTATTTTTTCCAGTGAATTCAGAAGCCGAGTTTTTTTTGTGCCCCTTTCTTAGGTACTCGAAGAGATAAGACCTTATCTTATCGGGGCAGCGGGAGGATCTCTCGAACTCGTGGGTATCGAGGAGCCAATAGTTAAAGTTCGGATCACAGGGCCAGCAGCTGGGGTCATGACAGTGCGTGTGGCTGTTACACAAAAATTGCGAGAGAAGATACCATCCATAGCCGCAGTTCAACTTTTGTCATAATGAATCTACAGAATACGAGGAGATGTGAATAATTCTTCATTATTCAATTCGTCACATAAGAATAGAAACTCGTAGAATTTGTGTATCATGGTTGCCTCGAGGTATCCTGGTTGTTATTGGCGCTGTATTTATGTAAAATGTAGCCTCATGAACAATTTTTTAGATTATTCCGTACAATTTGCTTTCATAAGGGCACAAATAATCTGAAAAAATTGTAAATCTCATTTCTTTACAATATGGATTACAACGAGTGGACTAGCTTGTGTTTATGTATATAATCCTTAAATTGTGAATAGTTAAGACCCAAGAATAGACCTAATTTGGTGCTTCGTTCAAACTTTTCCTACTCCTTTATAGTACAAGTACGAAGTGATATCAAGCTGAGCATGGATAAGTTGTAGAGGTGGCCTAGTAGAGGAGATGTTGAGACCCTAACTTGTCTTGGTGGCATGCTCGAGCTACCATTCCTTTTTAAGTTGTCGATTCAGATCTTGAATAGGCATTGAGGTTGGAGATGTCGAGACCCTAACTTGACTTGGTGGCATGCTCGAGCTACCATTCTTTTTTAGGTTGTCTATTTAGATCTCAAATAGGCATTGAGGTCAGTTGAGGTTAATCCCCTAATACACGCGAACATGATCAGCCTGGGTTGTATATACCAATTGTAACGAGAGATTGTGTTTTGTTATTCATTATTCAGTTTTCGTAGAATTTGTATAGTACGAATGCAGCAGCCTCATTAACGTTCTTCCTTTCCAAGAGAGGGCACAAATAAGTAGGAAAAACAGTAAAATCTCATTTCTTTAAAATGTGGATTACAATGACTGGACTAGCTTCTATTTATGTATAACAACAATCCTTAAATTGACAAAATATTAAGATTAGATTGAAAAAGAGACAAAATTGAATTCTTTGACCTTCATCTGATCCGAGCAAAACAGCAATTCCCAGATACCAAGTGGCTGCCATCCTGTTTCCCTTGACCTTCTCAGTGGCAGTACAGTTTGATCACTGAATCCGCACCGGCGGTAAACAACCATGGCTGCCTTGGGTGAAATTTGCAGTCCATTACTCCTGCCATTTGAGACACCACAAGCAATGCGGTAATATCAGTTTCTAGAATACTATTGCAAGGAAATCCCATCTACATGCACATACATAAAAGACACCACTTTTCTTTCTACTTGATTTGACGATTGATCAAGCCGAAAGAATTTAATCGATGCAATCAACTCACTCACCTCTTCCATTAGTGGCTTTGTGTCCTCTTAGTATTTCCAACGGTCTAATAAGGGGATTCTGTGTAAGATCGGAGTAAACCATCCCATGGAAAACATATGCAGTGCAATCATCAGAGCACGATGCAAACAACGGATATGATCGATGGAAGGCAACATTTGTGACATCTTTTGGATGGCAGCTGCACAAATATTCCAAAAGAAACGTTAATATATTTTCGACTTCTATAGATAACAGGGAAAAAAGAGTCCCCTCCTACCACCATCTAATCCCTCCATGTGAACATTTTTTTTTACATTAAAATAACCAAAAGTCAAAACGTTCCCCAAGATGTTCATTCTATCCAGCAAAGAATAAAAGGGGCAGCGCTGTGGGCAAAATACCTGAGAATTTTGTAAGGCTGTGATGAAAGGTCCATATCAAACCAACATACTTTTCCTTCTCTGCTCCCCACGATAACATTATCACCTACATAAAAACGTCACGGTGAGCTTTTCCAAGAACTAGACAATGTAGTAACTAGTGAGGCTTAATCTTTAATGTACCAGCTGGATGCACAGCAATAGAAGAAACTTCACGAAGTCCAGTTTCCAGCTTTTTCATGAGCTTTTGCTTCAATAGATCATAAACACGAACATTCTTCTTCGTTGATACAAAGAAGATAGATCGAGTGGGATGAAAAATAGATGAAACAGGAAGCCCGTGCAACTTGAATGGAATTTTTTGTGTTAGCTTTCTAGAGAGCTGGTGAATAACAACTCCTCTTGATTCACGTAAGACAGGTCAAGGAAAACAGTTCCTCTCTTAAATAAACAAATATATAATTGTTACCACTTCACGCATCGAACAAGAAAATATCAGAAACAAAAAGGTCCTATTTGCCAACTTCATAACATTTCTTTAATTAGAAACAAAATTTCCACAAGAATGAAACATACATGAAGCGAGAAAAGGCATAAAAAAGGAGAAAAACATCCCCAACAGAAGCATGTACACAACCAAAGAGAAAAGAAAAAAAACCATAAAACAACAAAATAAAAATCAAGTTAGAACTCCTAAAAGACCAAACTGACTTCCTTTTAGGCGAGTAACCACAAGACCTAATCGTTTAATGTCTTATTTATGCCAAGGAGCAGGTGCCTTATAAGCAACACTCAACCTAACCAGAGGAAATTTTTCTTACAAGTTAGAATCATGGACTTGAAAGAACATCTTGGACAAAGTAAAGGCAAGAATCAAAATGGTGCCAAGTTGACATACGTCAGCAAACAGATGCTATTCACCAAAGCTACAGGTTTAGACAACAGGACACGATTTACAAATGCATAGAAAAATTTTACAAATACCAAGGCTTCACCACAGATTAGATATACGGACACATGTAACTCAAAGTCAATTATATCCAAGTTAAAAAAAAAAATGGCAACGCTTCAAAAAAAAAAAAAAAAAAAGTTGAATAGGATATCAGCTGGCATAACTGTTGAAAGGTAATCTCCTTTGCGATGCCATTCAACTGAAGATACAGTCTGCAAACCACATGAAACATAGGACATTCCAGTCACATTCCTCATTTAGAAAGATCCATAACATTAGAGAGAGAAGATGAACAGAAAGCACCTTAAAATGCCTCAATCTAATCCCCTCGACCTTGTCATCTTGAAGCCAGGTTGCAATTGGCGTCTTATCTATGCATAGAATCATCACAGATTAGGACAACACTCAAACCGACTATGGCACTGAGATAAATCACTATTGCATACTACCAGAATTATCCGTTGCAGGAAGTGCGTCAATGTGGAGAAGTTCCTTAACTTTCGCTTGAACCTCTCCATCCCCAAAACCAGTGTTTAAAAGCAGTACATCTACACCCCTGCAGAATGTTAACCAGTAAATTAACAAAAAAGAGAGAATGTTGTACCATAGTTTAAATCTCTAGAAAAAGATGTTATCATTAGACTTACACGGCAGCAGCTAATATTGGAAGCTCAGGCAAGGGATTCCAGGCTACATACTTCACAGCCTCCCCAAGCTCCCATACTTTGAGACATCTGCCTGTTTCAACTTCCCATATCCGAACAGTTCCATCCAATGAACCTTCACACACAATAGCAGAAATTAGGACCCAAGTCCAAACCATTCTTTTGGTCACATGAATTTACATTCGTTATTCTTACCTGAAGCAATCCATTGGCCGTTGGCTTCAGTTGAAATGGACATGACAGCATCCTTATGACCTCTAAATTCAAGATAGCATGTAGTTGGATAAGGTCTAAGATCTTTCCGGCTTGGCAGCTTAGGCTTCAAAGACTCAGGATCAATATTAATCTGAACATGAAAGTTATGAGAAGAAAGAAAAATCAATGTATTTGCATAGTTATTGAGTAATAGAATAACATCAAAAGAGCTTAAATCTGATGTAAGACCTAGGAAACAATAGTACGGTTTATTTTTTTAAAAAATAAAACAGCAAAGGCTCTTGGTCTTGTTTTACTTACACGCTTCTTCCGAACACGAGGGCACAAGTATAGATCCAAACAACGTTCAAATGCATCCTTCAGAGCATTGTCGTAGGCAGGTACACTTCTCATGGATGTAAACCTGAGAAGAACAGATATAACATAAACAAATGAATGCACAACAAAACAAAGTAGATGGGCAGATGATAAATATATTAGGCATAATACTATTAGCTATTGACAATAGACAAAGCTTTATCACCTTCTAGGAATAAACTTCGGTCGATCTTCATCATACATTAACTGATATGAGTTTATTTCTTCTTGAGTGGGGATATATTCCAATGAAGGATTATATGACTCATCATGACCTGTCAAAAACTAAGACACTTAGCAGATATGCCAGATAAAAGTGGTAAACACCTAAAAATCTAGAAGACAGATAAAATAATACCTGGAAACTTTGGTTTTGGTGCAGGAATGTAAGACAAATGTGCGGTCTTCTCTGTGGAGCTAGAATCATCACCCCACAAATGGTAGAAACGCTGCTCTTCTTTGGGCTTGTCAAATTTAATATGTCCATTTCTAATTGCCCGAACTAATTGAACAACCTGCAGAATTGACCAAAATCAGAAAATGTAGAGCACAAAACATGGACTAGTATATGATAGCAGGTATGTTTTTATGAGAAACAAGGCCTTGATCGAGAAATATGGAAGTACGTACGAGGGTAAATATATAAAAGAATCACAGGTAAACACATTGGTATAATCAGATATATGATTATGGTCGATGGGAAAACATTTCTTATTCATTAGAAAATTTTTCTAAAGACCAAAGTGTTAAAACACATCATGCGATTTCACCTTGGACAAAATTTGAAATCAATACCTTTTTAGCTTCCCATTTTGAACGGATAAAACGCCTCTTTGGTTCAGGTGCATTTGACAGTGGGTGCTTGGCATCGTCCCATTTAAACCAATCAACATAAGGCTGTAGTTGGAAAATGGAAAAAAGATACATACATGTTAGGAAAAGCATCTCATTGCAAGGAATGGGTTGTCAAATAACATTTAAGCTAAAAAAATTGCACAACTACCAACCGCATATGGATCAAAGTCAGCATGTGGAGCCTTTCCTTTGAGCAGTCTCCGTAGTTGCTTGACTTCTTCCTTTGACAACTCTATTACCTCATCATTATATTCATCATATAACTTGCGCCTAATGGATATGACAAGTTAAGACTCAAAAAGTCACAAAGAACGCCTCAAATGGGAATGAGAAGATACTACTGAATGTATATATTCTATACAGTTGGGAATGTAAGAGTGAGTTGTGAATTCTGGTAATAAGGTTTATCAAGTTTGATATAAATATTCAAAATCAAAATACAAATAGGATTCTTGGCTTTCTCAATTACTTCCTCAACCGCATTAAATCACATCTAAGTTGCTCCATCCTCTTTGAGAACTAATAATGCTTCTACCGCTGAACCTTGTGGGACAAAGAGGCCTAAATACCTCATCTATAGAATATAAGGCATGAAGAGGCATTAAATCCTTCACTTCATTGACTAAGTGAGAAGTGGTCACTTACCTAACATATCAATATCCACCAAGTTTCACTAAGACAAATATTGTCATTGAGACAATTGTGCTAACATTGGTCAAGATGTGTGTAATCGGCTAGTACACTTATAAGTCATATACATTATAGGAGAAGGAACATTTCATGACATCACATGTTTGAAACAAAAGCAAAAGGAACGTTTCAGTATTGAGTACCGTGGCAGCTCAAGACAACTCTAAATTACAAAAGCATAAAATGATAGTTATTATGGACAAGCGTCTTCACACAGATATAAATATCAAGGTGATGTGGGGAGAAGATAAAAATTGATCTCAACAACTGAAAACTCACCAACTTTTGGAGTCATCAGCACTTGCTAAAAATGATTGTAATTTGTCTTCTCTTTCTTTCTTCAAAATTTTCTTTCCAGATATGTCATATCCAATATGCTTCTCATCTCTATACCATTCCAAGGGAACATCCCCAATTGTGTTCCTAGGAGCTACCTACATATGATTAAAATTTAAGAAGGAAATTTTATGCTGTTATATTGTAAACGTAAATAAGAATTTATGATCATTTTTATGTGCCTATTGGATTTACACGCACCTCATCCTCAGACGAATCACTTTCCTCATCCACTTGATCACGTATGGGGTTGTCATCCTCGTTTTCTTGGTCTAAATTATCAGGGCTTCCTGTATTGACATGATCCTGCTACAACAACTCTAAATAGTATTAAACACAATTTGGTCCAACAAAAAAAATCCAGTAATACACGTGACTTCCCAAACAGAAATACTAAGTCATGAAAATTGAAAAGGGAGGTTGGGTGAGACAGAGAGAGAAGAGTGTGCTAAAGGACCAAGGACTCTATAAGATACAACTAGTAATTTAGAACATTCAAACACATGAATCAATCTATTTCAATCTACTGGAGCATATAAAGTTTAGATTACTGTATTTTCCCATGAGACAAACATGAAATTGCAATATACCTCATCTGCAGATCCACTTTCCCGAGCTTTTGATAATTTGAGGTCTTTAAACTCATCCGAAACATCCTATAATCACAAATTTTTCAGGGAACCAATCCAAAAACCACAGTCGGCACAAATGTCCAACAACTAGACAATAATTGAAACCATAGGTTTCTACTGAATAGCTAAAGGCAACAGACTGAAGATATGTGCACAATTGAATGATGCAATATTTCGTCAAAATTCAAATAAGTTGAAGATTGAACGTTGTCAAGCATTCAGAAATCAGCTAATATCGTCAGTTAGCGGACAGAAGGCAATAGCATGAAAGATTATTCCTGAATAATTTTTCAGCTAAAAAATTCAAAAGTAAGGCATAACACCACATCGAGCAGCGAAAGAAAAGTAACCTCTTTAGAATCGGAGAGTGAAGCAGAATCCAAATGTTGTTGTAATGGAGCCTCATCTGCAGTTGGAGCTTCTTGTTCTAAATGTAATTCGTCACTGTTCTGCTTTTCAGCATGGCTTTTGCTTGGCTTGAGGTGGCTATTCTTTCTACCATGCTTTTTCTTTGGCCTAGTTGCCTGCGGCGAGCTCTCGGCGTCAAGATTCAACTTCATTGTTTCTCCCTCTGCCGGAATGAGTTGTGAGGAAGAACGCAGAGGAGCGAAGTAGGGTTTTACGTGGTTTTACGGCTACTCGACTCGGAGGGGAAAGAGTTTCAATGGAAGATTGGGCCGAATATGAACCTATTTGGGCCCATCTTAAATTAGTACAAAATTGTTTACAAAATTTAAAAAACTTTATTCAATAATTCATTATGCAGGATTACCCCTAGTGGACCCCCTAATAATGGAATAAGATTATTTTTAATAAATCAACTCACATCTCAACATTTCTTAATATTACGAGTGTTTATATGACTCGATAATTCAACCAATTTAGACTATCAAATTCAAACCATAAATGTCTGTTGACATTTTTTTAGTTAGGTCAAGATGGTTAAAAATGCTAATAATATTTAATATTTGTAACCATAAATGTCTGATATTTATATTTTGTGATATTTTAGTTATTAATGTAATATGTATAGTAAATATGCATGATTTTTTTTAAATAAATTATAAATAAAAAAGAACAACCCGACAACCCAGCCCAACCCATTATAGAGAGTAGGATTCGGTTATAACTCTATTCGAGTTACTCGGGTCACCAACCAATTTTGGATTGATCCAAAAGATTTTTCTCGAACCAATCAAACTCAATCATACAACCCTCCAATTTTTTTTCTCTACTTAACATACATGGAATACAATAACAATTTTTAAATAATTTTTTGAAAAAAACCATTTATTATTATTATTATTTTGAAAGGGAATTACTGTGATTTGTTATATGTTTCAAGACAAAGAAACTAAATACATTTTGTAAATTGATCTCTTATAGAACATAATATCAAAATTGCCCATATGTACTCAAAAATGAAATAAAAACACAATCCTCAATGAAGCCTACACAGCACATTTGTGAGGGCAAAACGTCTAAGAGAAGGCAAATGACACAAAAACAGGATTACACATAAATGACTGCAAGTTTTGGTGGATCTATGGGAGGAAGAGGAAGTGGAAGGTACTCTTTCTAGGGTCGCCAAAAACAGGATGCCTTCTACAAACTCAATCACTCAATATACCATTCTACTCACTATAGCCCCAGTTCTTTGAGAAGTTGATTCCATCTCGGAGTTTCTTCGTCGAAAATGTACGTTAGCGGAGATATTAGAACCCCGCTTCCTCCAATCTGCAACAATTGGTTCCGTGTGAAAAACTATAAATGGTCTCGTAATGCATTAAAGAAGAGATGTTGTTCAAGGCTTAAAAGCTAATGACTTACTGCTCTCAGTTGCTTAACCGACTTGTAGAGGAGCTTCTTGGGGACACATATGACAATGGCATAGTAATCAGCTACTGCCTTCCCATCACGTTTGCAAAAAACTGGACTTATAGTAGGGCCCTGTATGAAGAAGATATCAATTATACACAGATGATAGGAATGTGTGTTCACTTTCTAAAGCTTTATTCTTTTTCCCCCATTTTCGATCGGGTGGTGTGGTACTAAAGAATTGCTTTCACCTGCAACCCGGCCAATGATGCTTGACTTAAAACGCGCTCCACAACCTCTTGTTCACTGTTTCCTCTCATATTTGCAGTCACCTGCCAGATGAGCATGATAATATGAAGCTCAGAAGGAAGAAGAATATTGATTGCAAGTCACACCGCAACAACTCACCGCGAACTGATCGACAGCCTTAAGATGTGCTTCCAGTCTTTCAAGAATCTCATGGGTTGTGTCTAGAGCACCTTTTCTTTGAATCAAGGACTTTCGGCTGGCAAGAAGAACAGCCTAAAAAGTACTATATTTGTAGTAAGAAAGCATCTGATAAACCTAAAACAATATCTAATGGCAAGCTTCTCAAAGAAACTCAGTTTTACGAGATTAAACGACGAAACCAATTTAGAAGTTGACCTGGCTTTCCAAAACCACTCCACCTTCAATTTCTTTCAAGTTGTTTTCTTTCAGAGTAGTCCCACTGCTTACAAGGTCCAAAATAGCATCAGCTATCCCCATCTGCATTTCAAAGGGGAAAACATTGTTCAAAACTATAGAGGAATACTACCGAACGGTGAAGGTTATCCAGATTACAATGTCGTCTTCAACCAAAGATCTGAAAAATCCTAGCTGAAAACAATGGGATAATGCATAGAAAATGTACTTTGATCCCTGCTTGAAATGCATTTTAGAAGTTACATTTAGTCCTTAATTGTGCTTCCAGACAGCTGAAAGTTGGCCTACATAGAGCTATTCAACAAGACGATCTTGCATAAGGAAAATGTGAGCAACTTGAGACAAGCATGATAGATATATATATATATAAAACAAATACTATCATTGCTTGCTTTTTATAAAAGCACTTTTTTGCAGTCGTTTTCGCTCAAGCTATGTATGTACGCGGCCTACAATAATGACATACTTCCAGTAAATGGTTATAGTGAGGACATGCTTTAAGTAAAAGTTTACAATGATAACATGCATTAAGTAAATGGTTACTTCATCCAAAAAATAACTATTCCCCTGGCAATAGCATCATGCAATGCATAGAAGACAAGCATAATGTGGAAATCAGCCACCAATCGAGACAAAAACGCTGCATTTCAGCAAGAACTATTACCGCTGGGGCAGCTTCTAATGCTCCATCAGCCGTTGAAAAACTCACGTGTTCCAACCCATTTTCTCTAAAAAATTTGGGGCCAAGCTGTGAAAAAGGACATTATTGAAAACTTATCGAATTAGTACTTCATTCAAACTCCAAACTGAAACACTTTTTTCACTTTCGTTAATGAACTTATGCAGTGATGTGATGGATAATGAGGCGAAGCATCATACATGAGTAAAGCCAGTAGCAACTCGAAGAGGCTTCTCCTCGGTCCAGTGGGGCATCTGAGATAGATCCCGGATCGAATTGATGTTCTCGAAAATGCCGTATTTGGGTATCTAGTTTGAGAGGATAAGTTAACATTGTCATAATACAGCAATTAACATATGCGGGACATAACAAAATCAAAGTTCATGATATGAAGGGAGGAAGAACTTACGGCAAGCGATAATCGGCAATCCCCATATTCAAGGGCCTCATGAACGATGATAAGATCTTCACTACCCTGTGCGAAGAAAATAAAAGTTGTTCTTCATAATGGTTGCAATTACATAAAAACAACATTCATTCTGATTCCACAAAAACAAATATCGTTATATACTGAGACACTCACTTGTCCATATTCGCTCACTGTATCGAGTCCCACAATGCCGAGGTCTAGATCTCCAGATAACAATTTCCGAACGATGTCTTTAGGCCTTTGGAACCAGACTTCCAAGCCCGATATCTGTTAGAAATCAAAATGAATGCGTAAATAAGAAGAACAAACAAGAACATACGCAGAATTCTTCACATGAATCGATAGCTAAAAAATCGAAGCGCCTTCGTCAAGAGCAGTGAAAAACTAGCAAGTACCTGCGGAATCTTTGCAACATACTGCCGAGGATTGACTTGTTTTACAGACAATTGACAGTCCTGTCACGCCAGAGAGAATAACAGAATCAAACAACGAGAAGAATTCGCAAGAAAAATGGCAAAAACAAAACAAAAAGGATGCAGAAGAGAGCACCTTGAGAAGATCAAGAGTGTCGGATGCCATGCGACCTTTACTGGGCAACCCAAATCGAATCTCGGTTCTCTCAGAGAGCCTCCCGTCCAAGGTTCCATTAAGAGTCTCAACCTGAGTTTGTAAGGAAGAACAAATGAGCGTCGGCTTGGGACTAGCTCGAGAATACGAAGAACGCGAGGTTGTGGAAATGGAAGGAATGGGGGAGCTCGAACAGTGCTGAAAATTCGCTGTCAACGTCCACATCTCTCGCGATTACAATGGAAGCTTCAGACCTTTGTTGGATGAATAAAACCCTACCAAATAAATAAATAAAACGTTCGATTGGTGAGGATGAATATAGGATATTCGCCTTGGAAGTTGCCAAACCTGGGCACACAGAGTGGCCAAGAGAACTGAGATGCTCTTTGAAAGGTCCATTTTGCCCCCTTTTTAAGGGGCAAGACTGTCCAAACATTTTTTACAAAGACAGTAAGAGTCTATTTAATAGTTGTGTTTTAAAGTTGCAAGAAATGACGGATATATTTAACACCCATCCGTCAAGCAGGGACGAAAGTCGGCTTTATTGATCCGACGGTGCTGAGTGGAAGGGTTGTTGCTCAATGGATAAAAGTTAATTTATGGATAACAGACTAATTTTCCCCAAGAGCTCACATTGACGGGAAGGTTTGGCACCGGCTCCTCGCCACCTGGGGACGTAGTATGTTCCAAGGGTTGGATTGTTTGCCCATTAAAGCGATACGTGGGTTAGGTTCAGAATGAGATAGTTCGGTCCATATCCAGTGTGGGCGTTATTAGGAATGATGCATCTCTGGTATACCAGTGGGTAGTCAAGTGCAGAGCGGATAAATGCTGAAAACATATAAGTAGTAAGTCCATCCCAAGATGGAGTCGGAACAAACAATATATATTAGTGATGAATTTTGCCTGTTTACCCTTATATTTTTTTCTTGGATAGAGATGTCCACCGGTCGAAATTAAAAAAAAAAATCTATTTTACCCCTCTTTGGTAAGTAACTTTTATTGTATTTTGAAAAAAAAAATTGTATTTTACCGTTTATAATCAAATTTACCGTTTTTGTATTATGTTTTTACTCTCAATTTACTCCAAAATATTCTCTTAAATAGTTAATTAAAGCAACCAATCCGTCCAACATTCGAAGCTTAATCACCTTCTTTGATTAGTCAGCGATTTTTATTTTTTACAACAAACCCACGTGGAAATTGGATGCTGAGTCAGAGAATTTCCAATTTGGCAAATTCTACGTTTTTCTGTTTTTTTTTTTTAATTCATAAATGTGAAACTACGAAAACACCCCCCTGTTTTGAAACTTAAATCTTTTTTTTTTTTTCTTCTAATTCCTTTTCTGCTTTTCACTTTCTTTTTCATTTTATTTTTAATTTTTGCACATTGCCATTTGAATTTTACAATAATAATAATAATAATAATAATAATAAAAAAACTATTATCTCTCTCCATTCTTTAAAATTTTAATTTCAAAATTTATAATAAAATTAAAATTTTTTATTTGTTATTAGTTTTAAGGCAAATATACGTATTAATATGTTCAATACAAATACGACCATTCACATAAAAGAAGAGAATAAATACTGTCGTCTCTTCTATTTTTCAAGGGTTTTATAGGAAGGGGAGATCCGGTACATCCCTCAAAATCTTCTATAGTATGCAGGATCACAAGTGGAACAATAAGCAAGGGTAGGAAGACTACTAGCTCCGCAACAAAAGTCAAGTGAGCCCCTGAAAGTCGTTGACAAACACAAGCAAATTTAATATGTATCGGTGATATGATACAATAATTCATGAAGAATGTACTCTCAAATTTAAAAAACTTATCACATTTTAAATGATTACATAATAAATATCAATGATGCGTTGTGAATTGTAAATATTTGAATTTTATAAGATTTTAGTTGTTAATGCAACAAACTAACGACAACAGTGAATTCTATTTAAGTTGTTCGAATTTTCAATCCAATTCAACCCATTATAAATTATTTTAAAATAATATACTATAGAGTTCATCAATATATTTACAACCATATACAGACAACTCGTTAAAATAAAAAATTAAAATAGAAAATTTATGCAACCACGATCGTTTTCCCATAACAATCGTCATTCGTTGAAGAGATATTCTCAGACCTCGTTCACGACAAAAAATAAAAATAAAAATAAAAATAAAAACTAAATTAAAAGCAGGATAAAATCATAAATTACAAATAAAGCTTGGTGTGGCCAACTAGTCCATTTTAATTCTCATGCCAAAAAAAAAAAAAATAATAATAATAATAATAATATATATATATATATATTATTAAAAACCAGATAAAAATTAAAAAAATTGGTAAATATAATATAAACTAATAAAAATTCTCCTCATTCCAATAAAAAGAATACTCTTCGACTTTCAAAATTATTTTAAAGACAGAATTGTATATTATTAACAGAAATGATTATTATTTAATTAATTTAGACAATAAATTAATTTGTTACATTTTAACCTTAAAATAATTTTGTTTAGATTCTGTGACTGTTGTGCTGACTGGACGAACTGTGTGTAGACCCAAATTGGATAGCGAGACGACCTCTTCCAACTCTGAGTCCGAGTCCAAGTGCGAGTAGCAGTGTCCACAATTTTTGAAAAAAATCTCTCCGTCTCTCTCTCTCTCTCTCTCTCTCTCTCTCTCTCCGCCTTCACGGCCTTCCGATCCAATCCAAGCACCGCCCCAGCTGTATCCAGTTTCCCTCCCCCACCGGGGCCCCTCTTAGAACTGCCGACACAATCAAAAGCTTTAGCAACCTCCTCGTAATTCCCACCGCCGCTCTTCTTTTCAATCTTTCGCTCCATCCATGTTCAAATCTTCCCTTTCGAGTTAAACCCATTTCTATATTTGTTAGTGGGTTACCGACGGTTTCTAACCCCCTCCTCTTTGCGCCTGCGATGAACTAGGCTCCGATTGGTTCGTTGATTCCTTAAGCTAATTTCCCCCATTTTAGCAGCCATGGCCGCCGAGGCTCCGAGTTGGCACGAGGGTATGTCCTCGGATAATATCAAAGGCCTCGTACTTGCGCTTTCTTCCAGCTTCTTCATCGGTGGGAGCTTCATTGTCAAGAAGAAGGGGTTGAAGAAGGCCGGAGCGTCAGGAATCAGTGCAGGTATGCTTCTCTGGCAATTGTAAGATGTTTAAATTTCTTCCCCTGATTCGTTTGAGATCGATTTCTGTTCTTTGTTTAAGATTCAATTATGTTTTGATTGGATATGGAAATTTGGGTGTCGATTTAATGCCCTTTCCAATATGGATTGGCGTCCAACGATGTTCTGCTGTCTCGAGTTATTAGAGATTTGTCTATATTGATCCGCATCCAATGAATCGGTACCGGAAATGAAACTGTTCGAGATCATTAACACCAGTTCCTTTCTAAATTATGTGGCAACGAGTGAAATCTAAGGGGGTATCATTAAATCTACTCACACCTTCCCACTGTTCTAACACTTTGACACCAGTTGATTGATTTCTTTTAGTTTTGTGATAAATTTGCTTATTGATTCCTTACAGGAGCGGGCGGATTTACTTACTTATACGAGCCATTGTGGTGGTTGGGCATGATAACAAGTGAGCTTCAAACACTCTTTGGGATTGGTTATTGATGTTTGAGATATCAATTGCAACTGTATCGATATTTCGATTTGGCTAAAGCATGTTGAAAAAACTGAACTGAACTGTACTCTGAAACTTGCAGAAGCATTGCTTCTTGAAAGTTCCTTTGATTATCTTATTGTGAGATCTCATATCGATTGGAGAGGGGAACGAAACATTCTTTATAAAGGTGTGGAAACCTCTCCCTTGCAGACACGTTTTAAAAACCTTGAGGGGAACCCTGAAAGGGAGACCTCAAAAAGGACAATGTCTGCTAGGGGTGGACTTGGGTTGTTATAAATAGTATCCGAGCTACACATCAGGCGGTATGCTAGCGAGGACGCTGGGCTCCGAAGGGGAGTGGATTGTGAGATCCCACATAGATTGGAGAATGGAATGAAACATTCTTTATAAGGTTGTGGAAACCTCTCCCTAACAGACACGTTTTAAAAACCTTGAGGGGAAGTCCGAAAGGTTAAGCCCAAAGAAGACAATATCGGTAAGCGGTGGGCTTGGGATGTTACAAATGGTATCAAAGCCAAATACCGGGCGGTGTGACAGCGAGGACGCTGGGACTCGAAGGGGGTAGATTGTGATATTTCATGTCGATTAGAGAAAGGAACGAAACATTCTTTATAAGGGTGTAAAAACCTCTCCCTGATAGATGTGTTTTAAAAACCTTGAGGGGAAGTAAGAAAGCCCAAAGAGGACAATATCTGCTAGTGGTAGGTTTGGACCATTACATTGGTGTTCTCGGTGCATAAGATATGTCACGTCTTCAATGATAAACATCCATTCTAATCTTGATGAATCTCTTTGACATCAGTTGTCTCTTTAACTAATAGGATCATTATGGATTTTACCACAGTTCTAAGTCTCGAAACCAAGCTATTTTTATGTACTAATCATCAACCAAAACGAGTTCTTCATAGTTGTGTAGCTTTAGATGACCAGTGGATTTGGAGTTAGATCTGATTGATCACTATCATTTTAACAGTGATTGTTGGAGAAATTGCTAATTTCGTGGCGTACGCATTTGCACCCGCCTTACTAGTCACTCCTCTCGGAGCTCTCAGCATAATAATCAGGCATGCCTCAAAGATTGCTCAAACCAAAAGTTTAAATTTGTTGAATTCACTGCTGATTCTTGATCTCTTCCGTCAGTGCTGTTCTTGCACATATCATTTTACGAGAGAAGCTACACATTTTTGGAGTTCTTGGTTGTGTTCTATGCGTGGTTGGCTCCACGGCCATCGTTCTTCATGCTCCCCAAGAGCGTGAAATAGAATCCGTGACAGAACTTTGGCAAATGGCAATGGAGCCGGGTACGAAGCATGCTGCCTGGAATAAATTGTTTCAGTATATTCTTTTGTTTTTCTCAGTCTCATGCTTACTACAGTGAACTCTTTTTCATGGCAGCCTTTCTTTTGTATGCGACTCTGGTCATAACCTGTGCAATTATACTTATATTCCACTTTATACCTCAATATGGGCAGACACACATAATGGTTTATATTGGAGTTTGTTCCCTTTTAGGCTCTTTATCTGTAAGTATGCTATGTTCATATAAACTGCTCATTGTGTTTTCTTTCCTTCTTTACACGCTTAGGAAATAATTAGTGTTCCATGTAGGTTATGGGTGTTAA